TACCGCGGCATATACTTGGCCCCTTTTCTGGACAGCCGGATGTCGCGACAACGCCACAAATGTCCCAATTTGGTGAGTTCCAACCAAGCCTTTTGTTTGCGAGCTGACATTTCATCCTTGATGCGTTCACCAAGTATTATATGGCTGCACAAATAACAAAACTTGTCCACATGCTCTGTTACTTCCCCGGCTAGAGTGAGGCTGGGTGCTGGACTAACCCAGTCTTATAGCACCATTTTGCACTTCGTAGGTGCTAATGCATACCGAACATGGCTACGCTGGCACTCAAACTATCTAGAAAAGGTTGCAACTTGTCAGGATCTTCACTTACTAGTGCAGTATTATCAGACACTCTGCCACCCAAGAGCAAATCGATTCCACTATCGCCGTACGAGAATAAGGCTGTTTCCAGAATGAAATCTATTATGAATTTAAATAGGAGGCAGAGGGCAACCCTGACGAACACCACTTTCTGTGATGGTTTTGGGCGAAAACGTGCCGTAACCTCGGACTCGGCTTCGGCTATTAGTGTACAAGGATTGTAATATTGAAGTAAACTTCTTGGGCACACACCCTTCAGGGAGAGGCAGCATCAGAGTACAAAGTAGTCGGCTGAGCCGAAAGTTGCCTAAGGTTGAGGAAGACAGAGATGATAGATCAATGAAAAAAATGTCTGTGAACTAGAATTTGGCCAGGAGTGAGCGTGTGGTCGATACAACCTCGACCGGATCTGAAACCGACCTGATTCCCACGCGTGCACCGTTCACGTGTATTGGAAATTTAACGGAGTATAATACCAGCGAGAAGTTTAGAGACGATGTTGATTAAACTAATTCCTCTGTGGTTTTCACAAGAGAAAATGTCACTTTTCTTGTACCACTGCTGAGAAGAAAGTTTCGGGATGCGCAAAATTTCTATTTGTTATACAAAAATAAGCAATGGAATTTCTCGAAGTATTTTACACCAGCGTTCACGCACACTTCCATACGCCCAAACCATATGGCGGAACAGCCCGACCATGCCGAGGCGGATAACCGTTCGACACACGCATGCTCATACCCATATTCCGGTAGGCGCACGTTCCACCGGACAACTGAACTGAATTCCCGGACTCAGCTGACCTCTTAGGCCCGAACGCATCTCCGTCGGTAAGCGGATGGATGCGCCAGAATAATGTGAATCGCATATTCTCAAATGGATAACGAAATACGGTTTCAAATGCACAACTGGAGCTGTTGGACGCCATGAAACATGCACAGGGGTCACACGATAGCTTTCAAAGACCGGTGACTCCATTCACAGAAAGCCAATTAACATTTTGCCATGCCAAATCCAAACCACCGTTAGAACATTTGAATGGAAAATGAAAATTAAGTGCGGGCTAATGTGATGAGATGAGTGAGTGACCTGAGCCTAACACTAACGATTCCCATGATTTTCAAATCTGTTTGACAGACATTTCCAACTGGTGGACATCTTAATGTTGATGTGTTGGTGTTCCTTTTATCTTTAACTGTGGGATCCAATGCTTCATATTTTCGCATAATCTACTATTCCTATTCCTATTTCCGGTGTTCCTACTGGTCAATCCACCACATCGCGTTTTTCGCGTATTGAAAACCATTCATGTTCAGAACAGATCAATGATGCCTATAATAAATTTCTTACACCACCTTCAATGCATCCAGAATCTCGAAGCTTGAGATTCCCCATAGGATGCTGGAAAATGTGGTATGGCATGCATTTTGTCCCACAGGTTGTACTGATCGACAGCATTTGTTTTTTATTCTGGATTAGAAGCTAAGGATTTTGGCTTATTTTCTAGTTTCCTTAAATCTATATCCGCAATCAGTGGTGGCCTGGTGGTAACGTCATCAAATTACCACCTCAAGGGATGTGTTCGAATCCCACCACCACCCCCTGACTTTCACCATGGTAGCCCTTTGGTTGGCCTCTTCCCCCTTCCTGAAATTCGTATAATCGTGTTTTCAATAAAAGGAAGCAAATTTAAAAAACGATAATTGTGCTTTTCTTCTCTTGGTATAAATAATTTGAAGAATGTGATCAGTTTACGGGCAGTTGTCCAAAACCGAGCACTATTAAGACAAAGAACTTCTTTAAGCAGATCCCGATCCTAATTTGAAATTCTTACTTCTCAATCATCTACTTATAGGAACAGTACCATTCTCTACCCTGGTTGCATTGAGGTAAACTGTTCCACCATCAGTAATTTAAAAGGCTGCCTGTAATAACAACATAAAGTGCGCGGTATCGCCCGGTCGTCCGCCATCATTTTACGACCAAAATTTTATGTCCAAATTCTTTCTCACCCCATTGCATTCACTGTATTATGTGGAAAATCCGGCCGTTTTGGGTGCATAAGCCTTGTTTTGATTTGATTTGTGTGCACGAGGATGGCGACATAAATTAATTCAGATAACACTACTTATGAGAACAAAATTTTCATTTTCCAGTGAGAATCTAGCCAGTTCATAAGCACGTTTTGTCGGTGTAGGTGAAAATTCAGTCATTTTATATGAGCACTTAAAACTGTCCAGAGATATCTGCGCTAGCGGTTCGTTTTTGGGTCAACCGCTTGCCATTTATGCATGTGAAATGCCTATGGTGCGACCGTGGCATCTATTCTTCTATCCAAGGCCCTGTTACAACACCAAAGAGTGACCGGATACAGTTTCAAATTGACTAATGAGAAGCAGGTTATCTGGACTAATCGAAATCCATCAGGCTCAAACAGGAATCCTGTGTCCGGAAGAGTATGAACTGTTGTGCAATACTGCTGCAGCCAATGATATTCGTTTGTATACACTAGTCAGCTGCATCGATTTCTTCCAATAAACGAACCACTACTTCTGTGGCCTTGTTCCTGCATCTCGGTCACGGGAGATTTTGAAAATGCATTCCGTGTTCTGATTGCGATTGTGACTTCGATTCCTGTTTTGTGTCTATTACGATCACTGAAAATGTTATACTACAGTGATCAGCCTAATCTGGTACAATCCCGACATATAACAAACAAACGAATGAACGAACAACACTACCGTGACCAGCTTTCTTTTTTTCGTGAATTAGCACCATTATAGCGAGATAAGTGGAAGAGGAATTTTGAATTTGAGCGCATAATAATGACCTTTTAAATATCAGATACTTTCAGGTATTGTTTGATTTTGATAACTATCCTCGGTTTGAGCTCATGATGTCTCGGGGATGTTTTCTTCGAAATTAGTGGTTGAGAAAGATCAGAACTATACCTGTTGGAATTCAAGTTATCCGAGTATCAGTTCAAGATGTCTGAGCATCATTTCAAACTGTCTCGTTGACCTGATGGGTGCTGACAAGCCTCCTAGCGATGTCTGGATGACCACCATGTAGTACAAATTTCTCTACCTTCCGCTGAAGCGCGGGGGGACCATTGTGAGACGTGCCTTGGTCACACAGCCTCAATTCCCATGACATACATATTGTTTGTTTATCTTGCAAGTAGGCGTACGCATCTGTGGGCGTGTGTGTTTGTCCTCCTCTGTTGATACCAATGAATCATGCGCAACCAACACCTGACACATTGCTTACCTCCGTAGTATGATGGTGCAATGGAATTCATAAGCTACCCCTCAAGCGGATGGATCAGTAACGAGTGTAAATTAGACCATATCGTGCCAATGGTGAATGTCCTGTCATACAGAGATAATTGTAGTATTCTGAGTTACGTTCGGATGGCTAAGTACACCGAACGGAATGAATACATCACACGAAGCAGTCCTTGTGATTTGACTGTCGTGGTTCATCAGTCCATTATTCTTATGTTGATAACCCTGTGGTGATTTTTAATCTCTCTTCCATTCCTTGATGGGCTGGGTTGTCAAATGAATTTTAGAATAATTGATTCTAGAATAATTTGAGGATAAATTTTACCTCAGCAACTCAGATATGAGAATCGTAATGTGCAGAATGAGACATTGAAACAACCGCAGCCCCTGATGGTTATTATATAAAGTGACCAGGATGCAACTACTACCGATTGACTAGCCATTATTCTTGGACAATAAAAAGAAACGTGGCTTTCCTGATAGCTGAAGACGCAGAAGAACACATGGTGAATGCAAAGTAACGGTTATAAATTTAATAAAATAACTCGATCCTGTACATATCTCATTTGTTTATTATGAAGTGATCTTCTCACCATTGATGAAGTCAAGAGAAGATGATGGCTGATCACTACATTCAATGATCACCATATTTCCGAAGATTTCTGATTTGGGTTTTTTTTAATTTTCAGCGTTGAAAACGTGAATTTGTGAATGTACATGTGAGTTAAAAATCTACCACATATTTCGGAATAGCTGTATGTGTCATTTACTAATAAATGATACATAAAAACCAATACAGTTTTTGGCAACTGACTTGAATTTCAAGATAGAATTCAGATTGTAAATATTTGGTTGTGTTTAAATTCCCAAACTGGAATCCTATGGTGCGAGTAGCGACGAGTCGTACTCCGACTGCCTTATCATCTAGTTCTGGTTATTTCTACCAACAAAGGTCAAAACATGATTGACCATATCATTCGAGAAACTATCACTGTAAGTTGTAAAACTGCCATGTCAATCTGGAAAACCATATGCTAACTTTTAGAACTAAACACTGTAGTTGGATCTGCATTCCTTCAATGTATGTCATGGTTTAGTTGGTAGCACGGCATATCTCCTCCTACCTTGAATGATCACCTGTCTTCCAATGCCCATTCTGTTGTGAAATTAAGCAAACTGAAGACTCGCGTCGTGTCAGGCTCGTGAACAGGGCACGGCTTCTGCATCCGCTTTTAAGTTCGGATAGACCTCATTTTATCGAGCAAACCATCTTCATCCTGATTCCTTGTTCTATTGATTACTGAACACGGAACTTCAATATCTTTGAGTCGGATGGAGTGAGCTACTGTTGGGGTAGTTTTAGTTGTTAAGCTATCGACGAAAAACAGCCCTGTCATTAAAGGCCACCGCAAAAATGCCGATCTTAACTCTCTGATCAAATTTTATTATTCGAATAAAGCCTAGATCCACAGAATTAAAAGTGCATCACTCGGACTATAGCGTAAGCACTTAACTGTCCTTGAATTGTAGTTACCGTGGTGATTAGGCTATCGCCAACATCCTAGCCACTACGACCAGCAAAGAGGAGGGGACAGCTGTTTCGTCGTGTTTGGGGCTAGTCAGCAGTGCGTACTTCCATTGCTTATAAACACGTTCATATAGTGGGGACGTGACAGTATCCCAAGGGAGGAAGCCCACACCCAAGACCATCAACAGTGCCGAGGCCTGTGATCAATCGAATGGATTTCAAATTGAATACGCTAAGACTAGCTTTGACTTGACTGTGGCTGGGGCTAAACATCTCGTTCATCGTTTGTTCATCCTTTTGGGGTCAGCTTATCGGTTTCGTAAAAACCACGCCGTATCACCGATCCACCGATTCGACGTCTGTAAGCGAGCTCCATAAGGTGCAATACTTGGGTCTGTTACATTTTGGATGCAGTGTCTGGAACGACAGTTGGTTGATACGGGGAAGGGGGAGTGTGGTGTAAATATACTTACGGTGAAATGCGTAGTGAATAGGGATCTAACCGCTGCGTTCCGTTTCCAAATAGATATGTTAGCTTTCGAATGCAAAGTGATAATTTCTCAAACTTACCTTGAAATGAAATGATATAAACCTTTAGTACAATATCCGTTTTAGGACCCCCTTAGAAGAATATTCGCTGATCAGTCAAGTGTTGTGCAGAAGCATCTTATTCATTTTGAATTTCCCGTATGGTAGTTCACCGATTCATAACTTATTCTCCTGTGGTAATCAAATACCAACGCTTAAGTAGCATAGGATTCATAACCTCTCCTTTTGTGCGAGTCTGACGATCACACGAACCGTCGGGTTCATTCATCGATCGGTCGGACGGTTCAGCTGCAATAAGGGGAGGGAGAACCCACACCTTGCCCACAGCCTCGAATCTTTAGCCTGCCCATGGAACTTTGATCATTAACAACAGGATTGCCATGGCTAGATAACAGATGATAACAAAAGCAGCACAAGCATTATGAGACGGTGATCAGTCTCGTACCAGGTTGAGGGATTCCCAATTGTGGAAGTCGCGGAAACTCATCAAATCAGATCGCAAAGAGGGTTCAGAGGGAATTTAATTATTTGAAGTCACGGGTGAGAGGGACAAGACGACGTACGCAATCGGACTGTAGGGTGGACTATTTTTAGTGAAACCTTTTCTGTTTATGACTGTCTAGTGTTTTTTAGAAACCTGATTTCATTAAGTGCATACTTTAGAAAGCGCAAGTGCCCAGGGCTCACGTTCCCAAACACCTGCGCAATTCAATCATGTGAGCCTGAAAGCTCAAGCATGGTGTTACATGTGACGAAATATATGAAACTCAAAAGGAAATGATACGCTACCGGCTAGTGGGAAACTTGAACTGGCGATCTAAAAAATGAAGCAAAAAGGTTTTTCTCATTGTCTTTACAGAACTATTACATCTGAGTTTTTGTTGGATAAAACTACGGAATTCAACTTAAAATGGTTTTTCCGCTCAAATAAGATTTTCTCGTCAGAATGAATCATACACTGCTTTTCACACAATTAACATCCTCAACTCCCATAAGTTACTTGCTAGGTCATTCTTTGAACCTCTTCCTGTGATCGGTACATTTCTGCCAATGACCGCTTTCTGTTCTCAACCAGTCACTCACTGATATTCACCACAGAATTTCACCTCTGTCATGCACTTTGGCAACAGTGTTAGCTCGTTCCGTGCTACCTGACAATCTCCCTACATCGGTTGCGGGAGATTTGGTGTCACCTTGTTGAAATTTTGGATACAGTCTTGAAGCGTCCGGAACATTATTTAAAAATAACAGATTCTACCAAAAGAAGGCCACATGTACAAAAATATATGTGTACACTTACAAAAAAAGAGCTACCAATAACAACGACAAAAAATAAACCTGGCTACACGCAACAGACACACAAGCACACACACAGGTTTATCGGGCCTGATAGGGGATACGAACTGAGACCGCGATGAAGAGTATGTGGCGTAACAAGATCGAGCGGGATAGGGCAGGTACAAACGAGGTACGGGGTCTCAAAGAACCGAGGTCACTGAACTGGGGTCAAGGGCATGCAGTCCCTCTATAGAATTCGGAAGAAGTTGGATGAAAATGCGTAGCAGAACAATTGAAGAGTAGTAGTAGACAGGTTGGGCAATTCACACATTACAAACAATGATTCGGCTATCCCGAACCTGCACAAAGAAGCAGGAACAAGAATATCAGATTTGGGACTAAAGTTTTACTAAAATATATAAGGAACAAATCGCTTCGGTTGGTGTAGGTAGATTCGCTGGCGCATCGTCATGTGGACTGAGGATCTAAACAAGTAACTACACATGTAACTAATTACAAGCGAGCAAAACTAAAATTCAATCTGAATAGATTTAATGACATTATGAAATAAGCATGTGGTAACATGCATTGGTATTGGAGGTTATGGATTTATCATTTTCGTTTTCATTTTACACACACCACTTTATCATATTTTATTATTTTTTTGTACCTGTCGATGGATGAATGGTTGAATGAATGCGGAGAACTTTGTGTGTATGTCAATAATAAAGGGGCATGCGATTCAAATGAACGAGAGTTCTACACACGCAAAGCAGCTTACCCCGGCTGCCGCGGACATTTTGCTCGACTTTGAAGGACAAAAATGACAAGCAAAATACAATGTGACTATCAATCGCAGGGCATGAACCAAACAAAAAGAGAAAATTTGCATTTCGAATATTCCTATACCTAGGTGAACAGTTTAATCCATATCGCTATCAATCAGATCAGAGCGTATTGTGTCATGTGATTGCAGTTAGTCATTTCAAATTATCAATCGAGCCTAGTAGGTTTGTGGCAAGTCAACCCGGAGCTAACATGGAAGTCTTGCCTTGGTGGGAGGCATCGATTGGAGTTAACTGTGTCTACTTTTCCTTGCTATTGGGCTAAATAAACTGACTGACTATCACTGAGGCCAACACATGAACAAAAATGAATTGGCCATTGGGTTCAGCCGTTGTATGAGCTGGTTGGGACGGTGGTAACGCACACGCCTTCCATGCGATGGGTCTGGAGTTCAAAGCCCGGATGGAACGGTCGATATGCATTGCTGATGAGTTCCAAACAGAGCGAAATTCCAGTCCAGTGCTTCCGGGTGTATGGTTAACTGGATGAACTGAGGATTGTGCGTGAAGGTAAAGTCCGAGGGATAGTCAGTTCAAATCAACATCAACCATCCCACACAACTACTAACAATTAACTATGATGTAAATGCGAACCATTTCAAATCGCAGGTCCACTCGACACGTGATAGTCCAAAGATGTGTTTAACTCATACTGGTTCAGTCGGAAGCACACTTCCGTTTCGCTGCCCATGGATAGACCAATGGTTCTTGCATATAAGTGATAGGGCAACGCGGATGAGCTGCATGGCTAATTTACGCTCTGACTGTTATTAGCTATATGCAGTGATCAGTCAACCCAACAGAAGTAGGAATTAAATATCATTTCCAATAACAAAAGACTCTCTGCCCGGAACGCGGTAGTGATCATTAAATCACGGTAATTTTGGAGGCAAAAATTACTTGAACGGTACATTTAAAGAACTGTTCACCGCAAGTTCACACATTATAATTGACTAAGTTGTACACATTTCTCTCTACCTTCGTCACAAACAAGAGTGAAACGTCTCGTAGCTTTTGATTTTCAAGTCCAGTCGAAACAGGTAGATATGTTACACTATAAAATATCAGTGACACTGAAAGTGTTAGGAAAAGTGATACAACACACCGAAACGTACTACGACGTATTTGTAAGTATAACTCAGATCTACATAATGTAAGCATCACCAGGCGTTTATCTCCTAGTTTAATACCCGGTGATTGCGGAGGAAAAATATGCTAACTAATAACCGAAACGGTCGTATGTTAGTGGGGCAAACAGCAACCAATACGGTTGAATATTATTAAGATGCAACTGAGGATTTATTGAACAACTAGCCTTTGTTTTCCTTTCGAAAAGAGCAAAGCATTATGATGAATGTACAAAAAAAGGTATATCATACTTACTGTATGAATCGCCTGTTCATCTCGCGACACAGTGGCCGGTGGAACTGGACCGGATGTTTCCAGTAACTCATATATAGTTGAACAAGAGCTTTCCGGAGAAAGATGAGCACCGGAGTCCATGGATCGAAATTGTTTGCTTGGCAAATCTTCTCGTTCACCCGGGCGAATTCGTCCACTAGATGGCCTGCTTACCGTATCCGCACTGGACCGACCATGATTGGAGTCGGTTTTCGACCTTTTGCTTCCACGACGAAAACCTTCGAACCGCTAAACGGAATGATTGGTATAGAAGGGGGGGGGAGGAGACAAGCATAATGAGAGCCGAGTTATTTACTTCGACTTGTGTGTAAAAATATTTTCACCCCAGTAATCAGGGGTTTGCATACAATTAACACAGACTTCATTTGTATTTGGCCCAAACATTATCCCATAGACTAAATATTTTCCTATATTTTCGTCAAAATAACCTCATTTGCAACACCGGGTAATTTTGGAATCATAGTATTGGTTCTTCAACGGAGTGACTCTGAAAGAGTTGTCCTTCCCGGTGTCGTAAATGAGGTTATTGTGATGAAAATACACTTCCTGAGTACAAGTATATAAATAATATAATATTATATATATAATACAATATAATATAATATAAAGATTACCGCATATGCATGCCTACTGAGCAGCCAGAACCGCGAAACTGATGTGTGCTTCCAGGGAAATTTCATTCATCCATTCATATAATAGTACTTATTACAAAATATTCCTCTATTTTCCAGGCTGATTCATAGACAATGAGTCTTGCGCGGGCCTCACTCCTTGGCAACTTTTATGAAATTTTATTTGTGACGACCAAAGAGCACTAAGCAACTGTTTACTCCCTGTTGGCACTCATTGTCGATGTGCAATTTTTGTATTCATTCGGAATTGAACTGTCTGTCAACCCAAGATTAGGAAGCCGAAACGCCAGTTCTGAACTTCACCGTCGATGATCATGAACTTATAATTCTTTCATGCTGTTTCTTTTAGAATATTTCCACATATGAATGCGAATTAAATCCTTATATTGAAACTCAGCAGTCCACCACGATCAGTCCTTCATAGTTTACCGGGTAAGTCAGTTCAAGAATACCTTCTAAATCAAGAACACATCCGATCACTTTTGGGGTGGAATTTTGTAGTAATTGTAGTAATAATAGTATTAGTACGCAATGAACGAGAAACACCAAATGCGAATCACTGATTAACAATCACGGGCGTCACGTAATCACTGGATCACACTGGCAATTGCACACAATGTCCTACGTAACCGAGACGAGAGGAAGAGGTCACAGGAGCGGCAGCTCGTTCATCGAAAAAATAGGGTGGAATATATAACATGTACAAAACAAAATCATTGATCATTCGAGCCTCTGCCAATCGCGTTCTAGTATTTCTGCCGTTGTTCAGTTTGTCTAGGTCGCACAGTTTCTGATTGGTTGGTACAAACGACCTATGGTATGACGCTCAGAAGCTGTGGCACGCGCGCGCTTTGCTGACGTCACCCGTGAAGCTCGATTGTTGTCTGAAAACTGTAACTTGTCGCTCCAGGGTATGCGTCAATTTGTTCTATAGAACTTCTATTACTACTACTACTACTACTACCACTACCACTATAATCATTGAATGGAGTTCGTGGAATCGTTTAAATGTGCCTTCACACACACACACACACAAACAAAATCGTGACCGATTTGTAGCAAAAATACGTGTTATGTCAAATGTGAAATGATCTATTGGCTCTTGATGCCCAAAAAAAGAGTAGTTTTTTCATTAGATCCTACAGGAATTTACGGTACTCACCTTACTCTGAGTTTTTAACTCATTACGAGCCACCGATTCCGGAGAGCGTGCTGGACTGAACTGAGAGTCATCTGCGTCCACGGGTTTCGCCTTGGCTACCGTCGTATCCAGTTCTGCAGCGGCATCGGTGCCGCTTTCCGTTTCCGGGTCAATGAGAGTAACTGTGACCCCGGGCATGAATACCTCATCTTGACGATCCTCGTCTAGTTTGACCGGACTTGCCGGCGGAGTGTCAGTTTCCACGATTGTCGTGAAATCACCACTCACATTGCTCACCTCTGCGGGGGTGCGGTGTTGCGCGCGCGCACACACACACACACGTGAAAAAGACGAAATTATGCAGTATCAAAATTTTGTTTGTTGAAAATGGCCAGATAATTGAGTATTGAATGCATGTTTTTGCACAGGATTTTCTATGCATCACTACATCTACCTTGCTATTCTATAAGACGAATGGTGAAATCGAAAGGGCGGAGAACAAAGCACTCCTGTGGAACGGATCTATATATATATATATATATATATATATATATATATATATATATATATATATATATATATATACAGTCAACACCAATCTTTACAGATACGGCGCCAAAAATAACCATGGGTGAACGAAAACAAATACAGGTAAGAAAATCATAAGCTGGGAAGAGGCAATCAGGGTAAAACAACAAATAAAGCATGCACTGACTACAAAATACTCTAATTACTCGAAACATGCAACAAAGTGTATGTAAGTAAGCAGTGGATTAGTATAAAATATTTGCAAATCCAAAATCTGGTCGATCGAGAGAAAAAGGTGTACTAAGTTTGGGGCACAACACAGCGACGACATATGTGGCTGCCGCTCCAGCTTTACTTTTTTGAAATCGTGATCAATAAA